TTTCTACTATATCTTGTTTGATAGTTTCAAGCATATTCATTATATTTTGAAGTGGATCCTCTTGGTTACTTATTAAACCAGTATTTCTTCTAATTGTAGGTACATTTCTTTTAACTGCATCTGAATATTCAGTTCTCATACCTACTTGATTTCTCAAGTTTTGATATAAACGTGGTCTAGTGGTCTTATACATGTATCCATATTTCTCAAAATCTTTGGTCTTTCTTTCATTTATTTCTTTTTGTCTTTTTGCAATTGGACAATTCAATATCAAATGCTCTTCTGCATAACATCTATGACATGTCTTTGTTTTTATATCTACTATTTTAATTATATATTCTTCTGCTTTCCATGTTTGTCCTATAAGTTCCATTTTTCCTTCTTCACTTTCTAATGTTACAATTGCCATTCTTTTTCTTTTTCCATATAGATTTTGAGGAAAATAACATGTTTTTGTTCCCATTTGTGCTATAATCACATGTAACTCATGTGGTGACATATCAGGTGATAAATTAATTAATTTAACTACATGTGTACCTTTATTTTTTAATTCTGTAAATTTCATACTTAGGATTGACATCCTGCATGACTCTTCTCCTACTGTTTGTGACCATTCAAATAAAATTTGTCCCAAAATGTTAAGATCATCAAAATATTCAATTGCTGATGACCACATACCTCTTGTAGATATTGTATACGAAATTACTTTTCCAAATTTGTGATTAAGCATGTGTTTGAATTCTTGTTCATGCATGCCTACAGGAATATCCCAAAATTTAATTCCTTTTTCCTTATTGTTGTTTCTACACAGGTCGAAATCCGTATTTCGGGCATATATCGGAGGCCAATTGGGTAGTTATCAGAATAGCTGATAGGTAACTGATATGTTCCCAATAGGTGTAATATAAATATGTCAGGGATCTATCAGTCACCTAATAAAAATCAGGCACCTGATATATTTTTTAATTTTTTTTAAAAAATTTTATGCCCCCGATAAGTGTATTAAATATAACTGATATTTATTCTGGTGCCCGATTTTTGTAATATATATCGTGTACACGATTTGTTAAATATATATTGGGCATACAGGTCAAAATCAAAAATATCAGATATATATTAGATGCCCAATATTTATAGTTTTTATATTGTGGATAATAAATAATATTTTTCTGTCTGGTGCCTGATATTGTTATTAATATTGAATTTCAGGTACCCGATATTTTAAAAAATCATAAATTCATAAATAGAATTATGATAAAAATTTGTAATTCTTGTATAACTTGATAATTAGTTTTTTTAAAAATTTTTCTCTTTCTTTTTTTTTTTTTAAGAAAAATAAATAAAACTTATACTTACCTTGTCTCTTGTCTTTACCTTTCCTCTCCTCCCTTTATTTTTCTTCTCCTCACCTTTCGCTAGTTCATGAGAATACTTGTGAGGTTGAAATTATTGAAATTGGCTTTGCGGACGTATAGTTAAAGGTGAGTTTTTTTTTGTTTTTTTTTGTTTTTTTTTTAAAAAATAAATAAAACTTATACTTACCTTGTCTCTTGCCTTCTTCTCCTCATCTTTTGCTGGTTCGTGAAAATACTTGTGAAAGTCGAAATTGTCAAAATCAGCTTCACGAATGTATGGTTAAAGGTAAGTTTTTTTTTCTTTTTTTTTTTTAAAAAAAATAAATAAAACTTATGTCTCTTGCCTTTACCTTTCCTCTCCTCCCTTTACCTTTCCTCTCCTC